GTTGTTGGTATTGCCGTGATGTATTTCTAGGTTTCAAGTTTAGATTGCAGTGGGTGGGCCACAAGGGCATTTAATAATATTTTGCTATTTTTGAGTTTATGTTTGAATATAAGTGATGTGCCGATTTCACAAAAGGTACCGGTGTCTGGGGTGCAGCTTTCAGGCACTTTGTAATCGAACAAAGAAAACCTGAGTTTGACTTCCGTGTAAGGAGAATTTTCATTTAGTGTACCTGTCTTTTGGCAGGCAAGTTGTATCCCTTTCAGCCCAGGTTGGTCCTAATGAAGCAGCTCTGTCTAAATGATCTAAATCATGGCGCGTACGTCTTTGCTTGTCTTTTTTTCGGGGGGGGGCATCTACAATTACGGTCTTTGAAAATATAATTACAATAAAGATAATGTAGTTATAGATGGAACGGTATGAGGGTAGAGAGAGTAGGGGGGGGGGCACACCATGGATGGACAGCAGCAACAAACAAGACCGGAAATGAAACAAACAAAACCTAAAAAGAAATAAAAACAGAATAATGATGGACCTTCCAGTTGAGTGCTCAAGCAATTGTAACAGGACGATAAAATGTTTTAAACTTTAAAAAAAAAAAATTTGCATATCTTACAATCTATCGTCGATTTTCTTGCACTCAAATCCACACAGTCAAGATCATAGTTTGGCTGCTACGGCACCGTTACGATAGAGATTCGGGATACAACCACTTTACCAATCGAGAATGGAATCCGTCTTTTGAGAGAAAGATATAAAGCTTAATAAGTAAACAATTACAAACTTTGTCCCATCAGCTAGCAGCTTGAAAGAACTATTGAAAATCTGGTTCCAAACCGTTTAGAGTTGTCGAACACGCGAGTCGGGTCCTAATCGTATTTAAAATCCTGTAGCTCACACACCTTCCTTCCGAGGTCCCCAAAATCTGCAGGACCGTGTAAAAGATAGCACAGCGTTTTCCAGCATAGTACGAATTTGACTTATATTTAATTTGTAAAATAAAGTCGACTCCACTTGTGTTGAACTCGCTCGAGTTTATCTTCGGTTAAGCTGCTCTTTTTCTCGGTCCAGCACCTCTTTTAGCACCTCTCTTTCTTTACAAATCCAAACGGTTAAGTTGGACTTCGGATGAGTTGATCTTTTTGTCACTCATCCGACTGTATGAGCTATCCCAGAATTGAAAAAAAGGAACTTGCTTCCCAATGCAAATGTTATACTCTATTTTTCATTTTGGAGAATGCTCAAGCTCTTTTTGGACTGAATTATTGTCTTGTAAAAGAATGGAATGGGTGACTAGTTATCTCATCTTTTCCACCTGTTACGTCCTAACAGCGATTTGCAAATGATTCATGTCCGATTGACAGGAGAGAGCTCAAACGGGACTGGAAGGAGAACTCGGAAAACTGATTTTTTAAGATTCTACAGTCTATATCGTAGTCGGAAATGTACAATACTTTAGCCGTGGTACCTCATTCATCAAAAGAATTAATGGCAAAAGCCTCACTTGTCGCACCGTAACTCATTATATAAAACGGATTAAACTTCAAACTACAAGCAGTATTCTGCAACTTTCATTTAAAGAGACTATTAAAGTAAAAATCCTGAGCCTATGATTATGGAGGAACAAGAGCGCTGCAAATATTTGTTCGGTGTTGTTTTGGTCCAAAATAAATAGCCCACATGACACTGACCAGATCGTGTCCAGAAAGTTTCACGGAGACCAGTGTCGGTAGTGCAGGCCTTAGGGCTAGGACAGCGAAAGGAGAAAATATTTATCCGAATATCTTAGTTATAGTGTGTTAGTAAGTGCTGGTATATTTTGTTTTTACTGCTGTCCTTACATGTATATGATTAATTTATGGTTGTGAAAGTTCTTCCGTAAGTGGTTGAAATGGTTTTTCTTGTTACTGTGAAATATTTTCTCTTGTGTGAATCGCTCGGTGATCATGTGATTGGTGTAAAGCGCTCAGAGCTTATACTAGTATGGGATAAAGCGCTATACAAATGCAATCTATTATTATTATTATTATTATTATTATTATTATTATTATTATTATTATTATTATTATTATTATTATTATTAATATCCGTATATCTGTTTGCCAGGATGTACCCCACACATCTGAACTTGGACTCAAGACGCTGCCCGATGGGAGAGTAACACGTTAATACAATTTATTTCAATCTGAATACCGCAGTAAATCATTTATGACTTTGCCTTTGGAGCCTGAACACCGTTGCAGGCTTTTGTTCGTTCATGTTTTCGGTCCTGAATCAACAGTCCACGAAAGCATTGGAAAGGTAACGAGAAGGCAATATCACTTGGCCCCAGCCCCAGTATTTTTCCTTCTACTATATATAATGGCTTTCCCTTGCGCCCCCCCATACATTGCTACTTTTATTCAGTTCAGCACTGGTGTCTATTTGACAATGATGCCATCTTTACTGGTATGGTGGAGTGATTTATCATTTTCGATCAAACTTTACAGTGCTAATCGCGCTCACTAACAGTAATGACACAGCAACCGGGCAATTGCCCCCGACCAAATGCAGAACTGATGCGGACACAACATCTGATAGCGTGATGAGGAATAATTGTGGTGTATTGGCTACAAAGCATCTGCACTAACAGGCAGGCATGGGATAATGGGGGGCTGTGATTGTCAAAATTGGCAACGCTTCACTGGGAAAGGGAATGCTGACTAGAAACTATGGCTTGGTATGCCCTGCTAGATACAGCATCTGATAAGTTAGGTGAAAGTCTTGGATTTTGTGGCCTATGGCGATAATGCTTACATAAAGAAGGAAAATAATAGAAAATAAACACAAAATATCTTACGAAGTATAATATGCATCAGTGAGACTTTACTTGGGGTAGGCGTTGGTAAGCACTGGGTCTATTAATACCCTCAAAGCATCGAGGAGAGAACTGAGAAACCACTGGAAAAACTAAATTTAATGTGTCGATCTGACAAGAACGCTTATCTTGCATCCTTGATCGTTCTCATATAGTTGTATGTAAATGTGAAAAACGGAGCTTCATCTCTTTTACAAAACCTGAACCAGATCTCAACCGAATTATCACACTGGTTTAGTAATCTTATTCTTATTATTTCAACTTCTATAGGGGTTCAAGGGTTAAAAATGATATCTTGTCGTCTTAGGAAAGTTAATTGGTTGCACAGCTTTATTGAAAGCACAGAAGTAAATAGACCGGCATACTCCATAAAAGGAATAATTAATGAATATTTTTGTACGTGTATTTTGATAGGAGATGGCCATTTTATTCACTGGGAGGCTAAGAGGGGGTTTCTTTCTGGTCAATGCAGTCCTTTAAATTATTTCGATCCCTTAATCTTAATTACCATCTTCTATATATTAGTTTAAATGTTCTTTGCACATGAACAGTCATTTGTAAAGAGAAGATTTAGTTCAGCAATTAGGGTAAAGTAAAAGGAAGAGGGGATAAAATTAGAGATTAGACGGAGACAGTTCTAATATTAGCACCACACAATGGTGTACACATACGGGCGTGTGTTCAGTGGTGCTATCTCTGCAGTACACAGATCCCGGCAAACGTTGGCCAAACTGTTCGTGCTCAGTGGCCCATTACCAGTAATTCAAAGGGTCAACACGCTCGCGAACACACCACTGAGCGCACAAGCATTCATGTACATGTATATATCACAAATTTACACACTCACACACACACACACGCGCGCGCGCACACACACACACACACACGCACACACACACACGCACATACACACGCAATTTAACTAACACACACAGACAGACTCACACACATACATACACACCCACACACACTCACACAAACTCACAAACACACTCTAACACTCAAAGACACACGAACACATACGAATACTATTTTACTAACGCACATACATAGTCATACAAATGCACGCACACACACACACATACACACACACACACACACACACACACACACACACACACACACCACGCGCAAATACACATTATTATGCTGTCGCTTCAATGGAAGAAACCAACGGACATAAAAACACTGTAACCGCTGTACGCACAGAGGCAAAAACCTCATTATAACGCCTACGGTGACCCCAGTTATGATTGTACATGCATGTGTGTATCTGAGTGTGCTTGTGTGGTGTACTGATTGACAAGTGTAATGTGTGTGTTTGTGTGTGTGCGTGTGTGTGTGTGTTTGTGTGTGTGTGTGTGATAGAAAGAGAGAGAAAGAGAGTGAGCGAGAGAAAGAGAGAGAGAGAGAGAGAGTAACATTTAAGTTATTCAAAGTCAGTATCTTTGCCTCTGTGTGTGTGTGTGTGTGTGTG